ATTGGGAGAGGGAGGGAGGAGAGGAGGAGGGGGAAGAGGAAGAGAAGGAGAATTTGTTTTTCTACTTCATTGGTTGATTTATCTTAATTTATTTTTCTTTACTGATTTTATAGAGAGAGGAAGGGAGAGGGAGACATAGAAACATCGATGAAAGAGAACATTGATTGGCTGCCTCCTGTATGGCCCTCACTGGGGATTAGGCCCACAACCTGAGCATGTGCCCTGACTGGGAATCGAACTAGCGAACTCCTGGTACATGGGTCGATGCTCAACCACTGAGCCACACCAGCTGGCCATTGGTTGATTCTTATATGTGCCCTGACCAAGGATTGAAGCTGAAACCTTGGTGGCAACCTTGGTGTACCGTGACAATGCTCCAACCAACTGAGCTACCTGGCCAGCACCTGTTTTACTGATGAGTTGTTAGGTTGATTTGTTTTTATGATTTTATAAAAAAATAGTTTAAATCTAAATATAAGCTATAATGAAAAATGTCAGCCTTTAAACATATTCATTGACAAATCTTTAATAAGAATCTACAAAGAGCCAAATTTTGATCCAGGCACAGGAGATAAGAGATGAACAAGATTAAGTACCATACATTTACAGCATAATTGGAGAGGGAGAACAAGGGTTGAAAAGAATTGGATTCCAGCCACATTACTTAGCCACATAACTGTGAACAAGTCATCTAACCTCTGAGCTTCAATTCCTTAATCTGTAAAATAGGTCTAATATCTCTGCTTTGACAACCTCACAATGTTATCATAAGGATCAAATAAAAACACATGTGCAAGTTCTTTGAAAATGTTACTCAAATGTGAAATAATAAACCAGTCTTTAGAACATAAAATAATTTGTTTTCCACAGTATAATGTACTGTCCTGTGAAACAACACAAAGTCATTAATAAGGACCTTGAAGGTTTGAGGATTAAGGATTTTTTTTAAAACCAAAAACAATTATCCTCCATTTTCTTTCTTTATTGATTTTTTTAGAGAGAGGAATGAATAGGGAGAGAGAGATAGAAACATTGATGATAGAGAAACATTGATTGGCTGTCTCCTGCATGCCCCCACTGGGGATTGGGCCCACAACCTGGGCATGTGTCTTAACTGGTAATCGAACCAGAGACCTCTTGGCACATGGGTCAAAGCTCAACCACTGAGCCACATCACCAGGCTATCCTCCATTTTTTAATTCTTTGTCTCCACCTAGAGTCAACTTCACCACCAAAATGATACTGATTTCTAGCAATCTAGTACTATGAAATGCAATTTTGAGGGTCCTTAAAACTGGGAAAGAAATCCTGTCAATGCCCCAGAATCTGGAGCAAAAGTATCAGGTAAATGAAATGACTGATTTAATCTACAAAAGTGGGGAACTCTTAAATAGTCTCACCTTTCAACTTCGGAGAAACACACTTCCACACTTTTCAGAGTTCAGCAGAAACTAACCTTCCCCCCCTTTTCTCAAACTACACAATTGGAAATTAGTTTAAATAGTTTGGAGCTCATCCAGCTGGGCGGCTGATGAGAAAACAGGAAGTGGGGGAGGTTAGCTTAGCTGGATCATATCCAGGTCTTCATAAAGAACTGCCTATTTCCGTTTGGCTTAAAAGTGAAAATTCTTTTAGCTAGAGCATCAATCTTAAACTTGTGGAAATACCAAAGCTATGGTTAGACCCATCTGTCCTTGTAGGTTTAGAGCCAGTCAAGTCAGAAAGCCGGGGCCTAGGCCTTCAACTTTAATTAACTGGCATTATTATAACTTCATGCCACTGACTCACCTTGGCACAAGTCAGCTTTTCCTCTACGTCGATTTCTTTCAAGATACCAAAAATCCCTTTAATGAAACAGGCCTAGGAACCTGAGCTTTGATTATTGTCTCCACCAGAGGCTGTACAGATATCCCGGACGTTAAAATGTGTGACCTGGAATGCTGGTACCTTTCTAATACCAGAGGTCCCTGACCAAGGAGACTACTTTATGAGGTTCTTAAAGAGGAAGGGATGGAGTGAGGAGGCTGTGTGGTGTCATTTTCCTTTTCTTGCAGACTTCATCTTAGTCTTCCAGTTATCCTTTCCTAGTGCTCCACGTCCCTAAGACAGTGTCATCACCCCCTAAGGACTCTCTTATTATCTTTACCTGGCCCTCTTTGTGCTGGTCAGTCTCAGCCTTTCATCAGCAGAAGCTGGCCGTTCTCAGCCACGGACCCTCCATCCCACCGGCGGTATCCGCCCCCTCGACTCCTCAGAACACGAACGGCTCTCCCATCCGGTCACTGAAAAGAACGGCTGCCCCCAGAAACAGAAAAGTCGCCCCTCTAGACTGAACTCCTCCCTTGAACTTCCCCAAGCCCTCTCAGTGCGACGTGACCCCACCCCTAGGCAAACGCAACGGCTTCCTTACCAGCTTCCCGCCCCCGGGGGGCGCCTGCCGGAGGCCAAGGCAGGGATCGCTCGCTGCCAGCTCTGCTGCTACCCCTGCGGTGTGAATATAACATGGCGGATAGACACAGGAGCTAGTGCCGAGTTTCTGAGTTTCCGACAAGATGATTGGCTCTTACTACTTGTCCCTCAAAACTACCACCCTATTGATTGGTCGCAGATGCGTTTGCGGGGGCTGGGCAAGAACAGTCCAAACCGCACAACAATAACAAACACCGGGGCAGAGGGGCGGAACTATGAGTGCGCAGCCGTGGGCTGAAACCGAGTCCCCGTCCCTGGTAAATTCGTCGCCCACAGCGTTCCCTCAGGTCACTGACCTTAAAGGACTACCTACCCGACACTCGCGGAGCTGGATGGGAGTTGCAGTCTTCCTAGGACTTGTAGGTTCTTTAGCTTATTCTCCCCTCTTAAGGTACGAAAACAACATTCCAACCCATATCTGTTGACGTGCATAAGTGTGCGGAGCTCTTCACTTTTATCAACTGGGCTGCCCCTGAGAATCGTGCCCGCTTCCAGTGTCGGAAGCTCCTCTCCATAGGACTACAGGTTCCAAGGAACACTGTGGCAAAGGTCTTTTGATCCGCAATGCATGCTGGAAATCGCAGGGTTTTTTTTCCTACAACCCTTTTAGTTACCTAAACTGGAGACTTCCATTGCGGCGGAAATGGTGAGGGAACAGAACCTCTTCTTGCGAGTGCGTAGACACTACCTTACTTTCAATTCAGGCCTCAACGATTCCGACCCTAGTATAGCAATCACTGTGACGTAATAATAAGCCGCCACTGGAAGCGTAAAGGTGAGAGGGCAGGCGCCTAATAGAAAACTCCAGGAGAATTCCTTCTTTTCCGTCTCTTACCAATTACGTAACACAGGGAAAGAATGGCTGACCAATTGGGAGCCCCTAAAGACTCTTGGCTTTTTCCTGCCCCGCCCTTCCCTAACGTATTTCGTTCTCGTGTCCTGAGAGGCTGTCACCCAGCTGCAGCGACCGGTTTCCGTGGCAACAGGAAAGCGCGGGAATTACAGATAAATTGAAACTTGCGACTGCGCAGTGTAAACTGGCTGAGCTTTCTAGACCCAGGACGGTCCGGGGGGCTTTTCAAATAACCGGGTTCCTGGGCCCAGAAAACCCAGACGCTTCCTCTGAATTAAAGGTGAGAGAGCTTTGGGGAAGGGAGGGGGCCCAAGGGGTGCTGTGGGAGACAGGCAAGAAACTGGTGTGGAGAGAGTGGGGGAGGGGATTTCTGAAGGACCCCAAAGTGTATGTTGCCTGGCAGGGGAGAGGGCGAAACTAGAGAAGCCTAAGATATTGAGGACGGGATAATCGTGGGAAGGGGTGCACTCTGTGGGTCGCGGGGTTGGGGGAGGCACCAAGGATAAGAAGGGGCGTGGGTGTGTTGGAAGGGGAATCCTGATGATTGAAGTTGGAATGTGTTTTGAGGGGGACACTATAATGTGAAAAGACGGGTTGGTATGTGTGAGAAGGGGACCCTGAGGAAGAAGAGGGGCAGGAATGTGTCTGGGAAGAGGAGACAGGATTTTGTGGAAGGGAGAGCCCTTAAGAACTGGATTCAGTCCTGGCCGGTTTGGCTTTGCGGTTAGAGCATCGGCCCGCGGACCAAAGGTCTCGGGTTCCATTACTGATCAAGGTCACGTGCCTGGGTTGCAGGTTCGATCCCCAGCCCCAGTCCGGGTCGTATGGGAGGTAATCATTCGATGTCTCTCGCATGGGTGTTTCTCTCTCTCTCTCCACCACCACTCCCTCCCTTCCACTCTATGTGGAAATTGATGGAAAACTATCGTCGGATGAGAAGAGACAGAGGAAAGTAGAGGAGAATTACTAGTCACAGATGCTGCTGGCTTGGATGTGCCTGAGGCTCTGATATGCGTGCAAGCCAATGGAAAACACTGGTGAAGGACAGGGGTGGGAAGCCTTGGTTGGTGTTGGTTTTGGTTTTGTTGAGTTTGGTGTTATGCAAGTAAGAGAAAACAGCCAGGATGGCTGGAGAAATTTGAGGCTACCACCACTCACCCAGTCACCCCACTGTGGCTTTCCCTTGCTTGGAGAAAGGAAGAGACCTGATGGAAGAGGTTGGAGAGGCTGTATGTGAAAAGAGAAAATTTAAAGTGATCTTAATTACAATGAAAAACTTAAAACAAAGACAAGGCTTTTGTTATTAGTTCTATGGTTCGTATCATTCTAAAGCCCTCCAATCTTAAATTTCTCTTATTTAAAAATGACACTTGCCCTGGCCGGTTTGGCTCAGCAGTTAGAGCGTCAGCCTGCGGTCCTGAGAGACCCTGGTTCGGTTCCCGCTAAGGGCGCGTACCTCGGTTGCAGTTTGTCCCCGGCCCTGGTCGGTCGTGCGGGTGGCAGCCACTCGATGTGTCCCTTTCACATCGATGTTTCTCTCTCTCTCTCTGTTCCTCTCTCTCCCTCCCGTTCTACCTGAACAAAAATAAAAAATAAATAAATAAAAATGACACTTAATGAAACTGAGCTGTTGTTTTTTTAAGCCTTTTAAACTGATTTATTTACATATACATTTGTTTATATGTTCAAGTTTATTGTAACAGGAAGAGATGGATTTATGTGCTGATCGTGTTGAAGAAGTACAAAATGTCCTTAATGCTATGCAGAAAATCTTAGAGTGTCCAATCTGGTAAGTCAACATAAGAACTTATTAATTTGAGATTCTTCCTTATATGATTGTATCCTATGCAAATGAATAAAATTGACCTTAGTAAGGAGAGAAGATTATAATATCTGTTAAGGTTAGGCTATTAAAGTTGCTGCTTTTCTTTACTGGAGAGCTTTAAGCATATAGAAATTACTTCTTTTTCTCCATTCTTTCTTTTCCCTCCCTCTCTATCACCTCAACACACACACCTCCTGGCTTTCCTAGTCCATACACTGTCTTGACTTGTTCTGCATTGGGGCAGGGTTGTGGTTTGGATTGAGTGGCACTTGGGCTTTCCATCCAGCTTTAAAGCCAGCTTGATCACTTGGAACAAACATACTTAATGGCAAAATAAAATTAGAAATGATTGTTATCTGTGAGTGGGTAGGTCTTTGGGAGAACCTTTGGCCGAAACTAGCCCTGTATATTTATTTATATGTTTATAATATTGATTGAGTGAAACAGCAGTTAGTTGCCTCCTGATCCGTTGACTCCTACAAGAGCCCCAACCAGGGATTGAACCGGAAACCTGAGTGAGAATGGAACCCATGACTTTCAGTGTACTAGATGATGTTACAACCAACTGAGCCACACCAGCCAGGGCAGCCCTCTATATTTAAATAAGACCAAGTCAAGTTCTCAAAACTGCAAGTCTGACTGAGTGAGTCTGTGTTTGTCTTCATCTGTAAAATAAAGAGACTAGAATACTCAAGTTTTTTTTAAAATTGAGGTATAATGTGTTAAAGGCAGATATTTTAAGTGTGTAAATCAATAACTTTTGATAAGTTCTCTATCATGTATCTGTGTAACTCAGTCAAGATATAGAATATTTCCATCACCCTAAAAAGTTTTTTGTATATATTCAGGAGCTCTTAACTTGGCCACCCTCCACAACCTTTGGAGCCCTATTTCAATGTAATTAGTTCCTTTTATTCAATATGTTTTTACTGATTTTTTTTTTTAGTGAGAGAGATAGGAACATCAATGTGAGAGAGATACATCGATCGGCTGCCTCCTGCATGCTCCCCCCCACTGGGGATCATGCTGGCAACTCGGGCATGTGCCCTGACTGGGAATTGAACCCAGGACCTCTCGGTCCATGGGATGACACTTAGTCCACTGAGCCACACTGTCTGGGCTATAATTAGTTTCTTATATAATTTTATATATTTTATTTTATGCACTTAAAATAATTACTTTAAGAATGGGTTCATGCCCTGGCCAGTATGGATCAGTTGGTTGGGTATTGTTCTCTGCACCAAAAGGTTGCTGGTTCGATTCCTGGTCATGGCACATGCCCAGGTTACAGGCTCCATGCCTGGGTTTCAGGCTCAATTTCTGGTATGGGGTGTGCATGAGGCAGTGCATTGATGTTTCTCTTTCTCCCTTTCCTTTCCTCTCTTTCTAAAAATCAATAAAAATGTTTTTTTAAAAAAAGGGGTTCGGCCCTGGCCAGTTTGGCTCAGCGGTTAGAGCATCGGCCTGCGGTCCAGAGAGACCCCGGTTCGGTTCCCACTAAGGGCATGTACCTCGGTTGCAGATTGTCTTCGGTCCTGGTTGGGTTGTGCCAGAGGCAGCCACTAGATGTGTCCCTTTCACATTGATGTTTCTCTCTCTCTCTCTCTCCCTCCCACTCTATCTGAACAAAAAATGGAAAAATGTCCTTGGATGAGGATTAAAAAAAAGAGGGGGGGCTCATGAGCTTCACCAGCTGCCAAAGGGAGTCCATGGCACAACAAAGGTTAAGAACCTCATCAAGCAGTCACTGGATGATCTCTGTGGTATCTCTTAAATGTACAAAATAAATTAAAAACCATACCTCAGTGTCTTGGTGAAAAGCCAGAAAGGAACCCTGGTTGGAATCATGCAGGAGGCAACTAATCAATGTCTTTCTCTCTCTCCCTCCCTCCCTTTCACTCAGTCTAAAAATCAATGGAAAAATATCTTCAGGTGAGGATTAACAATAAATAAAAATAAAAATAAATAAGCAAAAGTGTGCCTTCTTAAAAAAAAATAAGGCCAGAAAAGAAATTTAGAAAAATTATTGCTTACCCTTTCCCCTTTTAGTCTCTTTACTCTGGTCATTTTTGTCTTCTTAACTGTTTTTCAGACTTGCTACATATTCTCCTGCCTCTGAGCTTTGCTGTTTCCTCTGAAGTGTTCTTCCTGTGATAATTTCATGGCTTGCGAATCTTGATTGAAATACCACTTTTTCAAAGAGGAATTTTCAGACAACTTTATTTAAAATTGTAATAACCTCTACCCTCAAACACTCCTTATGCCCTTTTCCTGTTTTACTTTTCTCTATAACTCTTATTACTATCTGACATCATATGTAATTTATTTAACCTTTTTCCCTATCCCCATAGAATATAAACTCCATGAGGGCAGAGGTTTCTGTTTGTTTACTTCTATATCCTCAGGAGTTAGAATAGTGCCTGGGACATAGAAGCCACTCAGTAAACATTTGTTGAAGATGTTAAATAATAAAATTGATTCTTTGGTAATTCAGTGGTTTTTAACATGGTGATAGTTAGTGGTGTGTCACATTCAAAAAAAAATTTAGAAAGCTGCACCTATTGCTCCTTACTTTGAACAAAGGAGAGTAAATTGAAGTAAATTTTCCTTTGTGCTTCATGAACGTTGTTTATCATATTTGGAGTCAAGTAAATAAGATTAAAGAAAATACAAGTTGTGTTTTCAGATAGATAAAAGATTTATAAATAACCCTGCTCTCCCTTGCCTCTCAACGTTTCAGCCAAACAAAAACAAGAGCTAAGTGAGATTTACAGCCTAATTTATGAAACATCAGAGCCAGAGAAGCAGGAAATGGCAATTGGGGAAAAAATTACTTTTGAAAAGTCATAAAACTCATAATTACAAAAAGCGATTAAAAATCCTCAATAAAAAGGAGAAACATCTGTAACAAAAATTAATTAATAAACTCACACTTCTGATAAAAAAAAATCCTCAATAGTTTGGCATTTGGGTCCATTTATTTTACATTTCCATGGAAAATTAAATCAGCACTTTAAAAACTCAGATACATAAAAATTAAAGATGCAAGATGAAAGTTTATGCTAAATTTTTATTTTAGTCAAATACTGTATATTTTATAGCATATATGTGCGTGTGTGTATATTTTTTTTATTCCTCACCTGAGGATATTTTTCTACTTATTATCAGAGTGGGAGGGAGGGAGAAGGAGAGACAGTGAAACATTGATGTGATAGAGCCACATCGACTGGTTGCTTCCCACGTGACCCAACCAAGGCCAGGGACAAACCGAAACTGAGGTATGTGCCCTTGACTGGAATTGAACCCACGACTCACTGGTCCATGGGCTGACACTCTAACTGCTGAGCCAAACCAGCCAGGACTACAGCTTATATTTTTAAATCTGTTTTCTATTAGAAATATACTTAGGTTTTTAAACTCTTGAAACCTCAAAAAAGCTAGAAACCTGCCTGGCTGGTGTGGCTCAGTGGTTGAGCATCGACCCATGCCCTAAGAGGTCACTGGTTCGATTCCCGGTGAGGACACATGCCCAGGTTGTGGGCCCTATCCCTAGTAGGGGCATGCAGAAGGCAGCCAATTAATGTTTTCTCTCATTGATGTTTCTATCTCTTTCTCCTCTTCCCTTCCTTTCTCTCTAAAATCAATAAAGAAGAAAAAAAGCTAGTCACAACTAGAAATTATTTGTTAAGCCATAACAGCAAATTGTACCATTCTGGGCTCTGTAAGAAAAAAAAATAGTGAAGTAGATAGGATTCCCATCCTAGAACTTTCCATTTAACATGACCCCAACTAGGGCCAGGGACAAACTGCAAGCAAGGTACGTGCCCTTAGTGGGAACGGAAACTGGGTCTCTCTGGTCCGTGGGCCGACATTCTAACCACTGAGCCAAACCGGCCAGGGTAGAACATTTTAATTTTTTTCTCTGTACTGCAGGCCGACACTCCAACCGCTGAGCCAAACCGGCCAGGGCTAATTTTTTTTTTAATCCTCACCCGAGGACATTTTTCCATTTTTTGTTCAGATAGAGTGGGAGGGAGTGAGGGGGAGAGAGAGAGAGAGAGAGAGAGAGAGAGAGAGAGAGAGAGAGAGACATCCACGTGAAAGGGACACATGGAGTGGTTGCCACCCGCACGACCCAGGGACAAATTGCAACTGAGGTACGTTCCCATAGTGGGAACCAAACCTGGGTCTCTCTGTACCGCAGGCCAACACTCTAACCGCTGAGCCAAACTGGCCAGGGCTAGAACATTTTAATTTTTGACTTTTCATTTTCATTTCCTTTTTAAGCTTTTTCTTGAACAGTTACTACTTTTTTACATATTGGAGTTTTCATCTGTTCAGAGTTTGTTTAGAGTATGTTTGTAAGATTTGGCTTATAATTATCATACTGAAATGTAATTATTTTGGAATTGAGCCAGTGGTGAGAATGAAAGCCATCTGGTATAGCTAAATCCACTTTCTCTCTGTCTCTCTTTCTCTCTCTTTTTTTCATTCCTCACTCGAGGATATTTTTCTATTTATTTTTTGTTTTTTCAAGAAATGTTTTTTTCTGCTTGCAGTAGCCTTTTGTTAATTGTACAAAATCATGTTTTGTTTTTGCCATTTAAACATTATCACACGCCCAGCCGGTGTGGCTCAGTGATTGAGCGTCGACCCATGCTGTAAGAGGTCACCGGTTCAATTCCCGGTCAGGGCACATGCCCAGGTTGTGGACCAAATCCCCAGTGTGGGGCATGCAGGAGGCGAGCGATTGATGTTCTTTCTCATCAATGTTTCTGTCTCTCTCTTCCTCTCCCTTCCTCTCTTTCTCTAATATCGATAAAGAAAAAAAATTAAATAAATAAATAAACATTATCACACAATCCTATTCTGAAAGACATGTTTATTAAAAACAAAGCAAATATAAAAATTCACAACCTTAATTACCAGATTTGTTATTTAAAGGGAGAAAAAAAGGTGGTGGAGGAGGGGCTTTCTTACAAGCTTTTTCACGTGTCACATTTTCTCCTTAAAAGGGAAGGATTTCAAAACAAAAGTGAAATAGCTTAAACAGAAATGTTCATAAAAAGGAACTTTACAGAATTGTCAATAATATTAAGGCATCCATTGATTTTTAGATAAAGAGGGAGGGAAGGAGGGGGAGCGAAACATTGATGTGAAAGAGACAAATAGATTAATTGCCTCCCGTCAAAATCGTTGAGATCAAACCTGCAACCCAGGTACGTGCCCTTGACCAGGAATTGAACCTGTGACCCTCTGGTCCAGTGGCTGACGCTCTAACAGCTGAGCCAAACCAGCCAGGGCTCCACTTTCTCTTTAACTGAGAATGTCTTTGATACCTAGATTATCCAAGGAATAGTGATTTGGTCACAAATTAGAGTTCTCTGTCAGGTTGTTTTTCAAATCACATTCAGTTCCAATAATACTACTGACATTAGTACAAGTCACCTTAGGTTGTAAACACTTTCCCAAGTAGCATTTAATTTTATTTTTACAGTAGCCTGAAGAGACTGGTAGAGTGGGTGATAGTTTCCTTACAGGAAACAGGTTCAGTCAGATAGGATGCTTAGGCTAAGGTCACTCTGCTAATAAAAAAGAGACCTGGTAGTAGAAACCCTCCTTTCTGACTTACTGTGGTATTTTTCTTTTCCCTCCCTTGTGCTGCGTCAGAAACCCCATGATTTTAAGAGTTGTGTTACCAAACTCTTCACAACAAGGCTATTGTCCCCCAGCTTTTTTTTTTTTTTTTCATCTTTTATTTTCATGGGCTTTGGGGTCAGGCTAATTTGGGTACAAATGACAGTTTTGACACTTTCTGCTTCATTTTTCAAAACTATTCATTTCTTCATTTTTACTTTTAATTTCCAGGACCATTCTTTGAATGCTATTTTCTTTTTTCCCCCAGTAGAATCCTTTTCTTATTTCATATTTACTAATTGCCTTCTTCTTGCATTATTCCTGTTTTCTGTAAGTTTTTTTCTATAAGTTTCTTTCTTTTGTTTGCTTGTCCCAGTCTATTACTGTGGTGTTGGCAGCAAACTTGAATCTTGGTTCTTGAGTTCAGCAAAGAAAGATTTCAGAGCCAAGAACTGAAATTATGAGAAAGTGTATTTAGAAAGTTACAGAGGTAGTAGAAGTGAGCCAACTACTTCTGCTAGGCTCAGGAAACAAGTTACAGAATCAAAAGAAGGGCCCTTGGAACTTAGAGGGAAAGGCAAAAGTAACAAGCCTGCGGGGGGTGTGTGGGGGACAATAGGAAAGGCACGGGCACCACCCAGCTTGCCTTCCTTCCTTCCTTCCTTCCTTCCTTCCTCCCTCCCTTCCTTCCTTCCTTCCTTCCTTCCTTCCTACCTACCTACCTAGCGGGAACCAAACCCAGGCCTCTCTGGTCCGCAAGCCGATGTGCCAACTGCTGAGCCAAACAGGCCCGAGCTTTTTCTTGATACTTTTCTAAAAAGTTAAACTAATGAAAAGAACCACATTCTTGTTCTACACAGCTTATCTATTGTTTGATGTCCTGCCTGAATTTTACCAAAAATCAGTTTCTAAATCTCTCAGAATGAAAGCTGAAGACTTAAAATAGCCAATAGGTTCCTACCTGCTCGGCTCTCAGCTACCTCTCTGACCTCTTCTAGTACTTCCTCCCCTTGATCTTTCCATCTTAGCACCCCACCTATTTGCTATCTTTCAATACACCAGGCATAGTCCTGCTCAGTCTGTCTTCTCTGCTTCCTCTGCTGGAATGTTCTCCCAATTGTTGCACAGCTTGTTTCCTCACATAATTCAGTTGTCCTCCAGTGTCAGCTTTATGAGGCCTTTACTGACCTGTGTATGTTCCCTTACACATACTACACTGCCTATCCTACTCACCTGTATTTTTCTTTTCAGCACTATTCCCATATGTTCTTGTTTATTTCTCAATCAACTGCCTACCACAACTAGAATGTAAGTTCTACTAAGGGCAAGCTTTATTTTGTTCACTGCTATAGTCCATCTCAAAGAACAGTGTTTGCATATAGTAGATAGTAAATACTTTTTATGTTAGTAAATGAATTCATCTCAGGAAGGCCTTGAGATTTTGTGGATAGATAGGTAGGAATGGGAATTTGGGTGATGTATTTTCTCAAAATTTTAACATTTTTCTAAGTTTATTTTATTATTTTATTCAGTTAGTATTTATTACATTGTTTTTACAAAGTACTGTAATCACAAACCAAACATTATGTCCCTCATGAAGTGATGTAATAAAAGTACACAGTGCTGAAAAGTGTTCTTGCCAAAAAATTGTTTTTGCCAAAAAAATTGAACCTAAATTTGCCTGAGCCTGTAGAGGCTAGAGGAATATGTTAAACAACAATCAGCAAAATCCAGAATATGAGAAATTCTACAGGTCAAATGACAAGTATTATCAGCTAATCTTTTTTTTTTTTGGTACATGCCCCTAGCGGGAACTGAACCCAGAACTCTCTGGTGCGCAGGCCGGCGCTCCAACTGCTGAGCCAAACTGGCCAGGGCTCAGCTAATCTTTTTAATGCTATACATACAGAATATTGAAAAGAGTAATATATATTCTGCTTTGATGTCTGAAAGCTCACTTAGGCTAAGGATCATATTCTCGGCTGTATTTTTGGCTCCTGGCACAGCAGACATTTAATAAATATTTATTAAATGAACTCAAAACCTTACCTTGGTTTAGTTATAGCCACTTAAAGTTGTACTTCTTTAATAAGAATATATTTATTTTTAAATGAATTATTGAGCTACATTTATTTTTCATTTTTTCTTACCCTTCTAGTCTGGAGTTGATCAAAGAGCCTGTTTCCACAAAATGTGACCACATATTTTGCAAGTAAGTTTGAATGTTGATGTGCCTCCGTTATTAGTTTTTGTGCTTATCTTTCATAACACAGGAAACACCTTACTTTATAAAAGCTTTAGTTTCTTTAAGTAAAAAAGAAAAATCCAATTCAATTTCATTCTTTCTCAGAGAATATGCAGAAAGTCACTGTAAGTTGGTTGTAGCCAACATAGCTCCTGGTAAAATATTGGCATATTTATCTAAGTGGGATATCAACTCACTTTGAACAGCTGTTTGTTTTTTGTGTCCATGGGTGAAAGCAGATTGCAAACAATTGTGAAATAAATTGTGTTTTAACCTTGGCAGTTTCCCTTTTCTGTATATTCTGCATATTCTACTTTTCTCCCTTCTAAAGCTCAGTGTTTGCCTGCTTCATAATCCTTATAAAGATAGGAAAGGATCTGATATCAGTTTATATTTAGGCTGAAATTCACTCATACCAATGATTCAAGTTATATTTACATTTTTAAGAATCTTGCCCTTTGAAATGAAAATGTTTCTTGATGGAAGAATTTCAGAAAAGGTTTAGTAGATAATTTGGTAGAACAACGGGATTTTCTCCTTTCCCTGATGTTAACCTATGATTGAGACTTTCTCTGAATGTCAACTGATTTTTTTTTTCTTTATTGATTTGAAAGAGAGAGAGAGATAGAAACATCGATGAAAGAGAACATCGATTGGCCGCCTCCTGCATGCTACTTACTGGGGATTTGGCCCATAACCTGGGCATGTGCCCTGACCAGGAATCGAACTGGTGACCTCCTGGTGCATGGGTCAACGTTCAACCACTGAGCCACACCTGCCAGGCTCAACTAATTTGTTTTAATTTTTTTTATTTTTCAATTGAAAAGGCAATCCATGTCCATGGTAATGAGTTTACTAGCACAAAAGGTTATATGATGCAAAGTATATTTCCCTCCTAACCCCAAATACCTGCCTTCCTCTTCCCTCCCCAGAAACAACTACAATGATCAATTTCTTATGTATCTTCTCAGGAATTTTTAAATTTGAAGAGATTTTAACTTGGGATTTGTTGGTTTTAATGAATGTCCTGGAATTATATTCAATTTTAAGTTCAACTGTGTTAAAAACTATAGGCATGTGTAATTTGGGGCGAAGACAGTCAATAATTTTCATGAGATTATTAGCATGTTTTCATAAACTAAAAAATGTGAAGAGCGTCTGCATTAAGGATAATGAGGGCTGGGCGGAGCTGAGGGAAACCTGTTCACTTTGGAGGGATATCTTCTGAACACTAGTCCACCAGCTGGCTGGCTCCCTCCTTCCTCTGCATTCTGTATTATTCTTCCCATTCATGTGTCCTAACAAGGATCCAGAGCCTGTTTCCACTGGCTCTCACCCCTTTCTCTTGTCACCCCACTGGCCTAGATCTTTTACCAACAGTTTCTTTTCAATGCCTCAGGCCCTTTTCCTCGTTCAGGTTTCAGGTCAGCACAGCTTGATCTCTCTACTTCAAGAATTTTTAGTTTTGTGGCCTCTATATATATGGAAGCTTTTCAAACTATCTGTAGTATAGGACTGGTTTACTTCATAGATTGATACTTTTGTAGAAAAATTTAAAAGTTCCAGTATTTGAAAGGTTACAGATAGCTGAAGATTAACCTTTAAATGTGGGACTTTTACTGTTTCTTGATGAGAATCTTTCTGAAATTTACTGTGTGCTTTCCTGTCATCTCGAGTGATGAATACATAGTAATATAGTGGGTAAAGAAGAAATTAAAATATGAACATTCATTACTTTGAGAGCTTGTGGGAGAAGGGAATTATAGATAGAAGAACTAATATGAGCAAAGAAAGTAGAATATGTCCAGAAAAAATAAACTAACTGTGCATATGTGTATAGGAGTTGTGGGAGAAGAGGAAGGAGCCCCTCAGAGGGGAAATGACATTTGCAAGAGGAGGTAGAAAGGATTGTAAATAGAAAATGGATGCAAGCGAAAGAAATAGTTACTATTCATAAGCAGTAATGAAGGAAAAGTAGAATAATTCTACAAAAAGATTTTGAGGAGAGCAGGGGGAGTTGAGGTAATTTGAGCTCAGTGAACTTGGAGGTGAAGACAGCTGTTGAGATAGAAAAGGTTAAAATTGGAAACTAGAGGAGAGTGAGAAAGGCTTGCAACTCTTTGTATGGAGGATATGAGAAGCAGAAGAACCAGCTTTGCTTTTCTTTTCTTTTTTTTAATCCTCACCCGAGGACATTTTTCCATTGATTTTCAGATAGAGTGGGAGGAAGGGAGGGAGACAGAGAGAGAAACATCGATGTGAGAGAGACACACAGATTGGTTGCCTCCCGCACAACCCCAACCAAGATTGGGGATCAAACCTACAACCTTAGGTACATGCCCTTGACCAAGCATCTAACCCATGACTTTTTGGTCCGAGGGTCAACTCTAACTATTGAGCCAAACCAGCCAGGGCAAGAACCAGCCATATTTTAAATGCTATATTAGAATTAAAAGTATATAGTATAATACTCAGATGCCAGATTAACTTTTGCTTGAAACCTCTTCTGTAATACCTTTATAATCTGAATAACACCTTGATTTCTATGTGAGAAAATTGAGGAAACTACCCCAAGCATTAATTGTATTTTCTCAGGATGAACTCTAATTGCTAATGATAAAATAGCTTTATTGACTGGGGGTAAAGCCTATAGTTCTGAAATCTTTCATGAGATATACAAAGAAGATAATAATACCAGTCTAGAAAAAAATCACTTAGGTTGTCCATGCATTGCCTTGCAGTTTCCAAACAACAAATGAAATGTGTAATGTTTTTTGGAATATATAGAATCACATTGTCCAAGGAGATATAATATGAACCATAAGTGTAACTTAAATATTCTAGTAGCCACATTACTAAAAAATTTGTAAAGCTTAATTATAGCCCTAGCTGGTTTGGCTCAGCAGTTAGAACATCAGCCCGAGGACCAGAGAGTCCTGGGTTCAGTTTCCGCTAAGGGCACGTAACTCAGTTGTGGTTTGTCCCCTGCCTCAGTTGGGGTTGGGGTTGTGTGGGTGGTGGCCACTCGATGTGTCTCTCTCACATCAATGTTTCTCTCTCTCTCTCTTCCTCCCTCTCTCCCTCCCACTCTATCTGAAGATAAATGCAAAAAAAAAAAGTTAATTATAGTTATAGCCCAGCCAGTGTGTCTCAGTGGTTGAGTGTCGACCCATGCTCTAAGAGGTCACTGGTTCGATTCCCAGTCAGGGTACATGTCCAGGTTGTAGACCAAGTCCTCAGTGGGGGGCATGCAGGAGGCGGCCAGTCGATGTTCTCTCTTATCAATGTTTCCATCTCTCTTAAATCAATAAAGAAAAAAAAGTTAATTGTAGTTATATGTTTATATTTATATTTTTTAACCTAATTATGACCAAAACTTTACCATTTCAATATAAAATATATTGAGATATTTGACATGTTTTTGGTAGTAAGTTTTCAAGAACCTGTGTTTTTCCATTCTTATAGTACATCTTTGTTTAGACTAGCAGCATTACAAATGCTCAGTAGCCACATGTGGCCAGTAGCTGCTATATTGGACAATGCAGTTCTAAGAACTTATACCATTTAAAGTGGGACTCATGGACCTGCAGCACCCATATCACATGGGAACTTGCTAGAATTTCAGCCCTACTTCAAACCTGCTGAATCAGAATCTGCATTTTAACAAGATTCCTCAGGAGATTTCTTATACACATTAAAGTTTGAGAAGAAGCATTCTGGAATGATGACCTTACTATACGCTTATTTGGAGGATAGTAAGAGGGACCAGACCAGCGATGGCTGAGGTCTAAGGACCAGATACACCAAGTAAGGCAAGTCTTGGAGTCAGCTAACTGAGGAAATCCAGATAAGTGGTGAGTTTGTATAGGGATGTTTGATGGCTAGATACAATAGATCATAATATCAGAGAATTCTGGAATCTAGTAATAGTTTGATTTTTAGTGGTCCAGAAGTAGTCAAGAGATAGGTAATCTAGCAAGTAGATTGAACATAGTTTCTCAGCAGAAATAAGCAGTCCAAAGTGGTGATTTGAAGGGAAGGAAAATATCAGGGATACGTACAGACATAGGAGGCTAAGGGTTAAGGGTAATACTTGTCCCTCAGAGACAAGAGCATTGACCCATGGGATTACAATAATGAGCAAGGAGCCTAGGCACATTCGCCCAGATAAAGAGTTCAGGATAGATTCTTAATTGTTGGAACTAAAGAACAAACAAGAGGTTTGATCAAGAAAACAGAGCATTATTGTAGAAAATAACAAGGTTTGGTGGATGCTAAGCTATGGGGCTCTCTCTTTTTTTATTTCTATTCACTAGGGACCACGATGGTCCATAATCTTAGTTCGGTTGACAGGAATCCAAGATAATAAAAGGTAGCCAAAGTTAGCCTATCTTTATTTTGCCTAGACTTAGAACTGTTAATTTATTGCTTTCTGCAGGGATAGCCTTGGACAAGTAACCCCAAATTAGATGAATTTTCTTAACATTGTTAAACTCCTCCAAGTATAGATGTGCTAAAAAATGAGTACTCTGGCCCTGGCCAGTTTGGCTCAGCGGTTAGAGTGTCTGTGGACTGGAGAGTCTTAGTTTCAATTCCCAGCCAAGGGTAGCTAATCAATGTTTTTTTTTGCTCTCTCTCTCTCTCTCTCCCTCTCCCTTCCTCTCTCTCTAAAAAGGAATAAATTAACCCAGCCAGTGTGGCTCAGTGGTTGAGCATCGACCTATGCACCAAGAGGTTGCCGGTTTGATTCCCAGTCAGGGCACATGCCCAGGTTTAGGGCCCGATCCCCAGTTGGAGGCATGCAGGAGGTGGCCAGTCGATGTTCTCTCTCATCGATGTTTCTACCTCTCCCTCTCCCTTCCTCTCTCTTTAAAAATCAATGAAGAAAAAATAAATAAATAAAAATTAATAAACTATTCTTTTTTTTTTTTTTATCCTCATTCGAGGACATTTTTCCATTTTTTGTA